GGACAATTCACGGAGTCAGTTGTTGTTGCTGTTGCTGCGGCTGCTGCTGCTGCTGCTGCTTGTGCTGCTGCTGTTGCTGTTGCTGCTGCTGCTGCTGGTGGCCCTGCAGATTTTTCTGTGCTGCTGCTGCTGCTGCTGCGTCAAGCTAGCTGCTGCTGTCTGCTGTCTCTTTAAAGCGCCTTTTTTCGCTGCCTTGATTGTTCCAACTATTGCTGCTGCTGCTGCTATTGCTGCTGCTGCTGCTGCTGCTGCTGCAGCCGAATGTGGGGCGACAGCAGCATGAGTGTCTCCGAAATGGCCCGGGAGGAGAAGTGTCTCTCCAGTGCAGCAAATGAAAGAGAAATGAATCGGAGAATTATCAAAGGTTTGCTTTTTTATTCCATTTATTTTAATTTATTTTAATTTATTTTAATTTATTTTAATTCATTTTAATTTATTTTAATTTATTTTCCATTTCTTTTCATTTCTTTTTGTTCCTTTTTATTGGCCTTTTTTGTTCTATTTGTATTTCTCTTTTATTTCTCTTTTATTTCTTTTATTTGTTTTGTTCTCGTTTCTTTTATTTCTTTTATTTTTATTTCTTTTGTTTTAAATTTTTAATTTCTTTTATTTTCAGTTCTTATATTTTCATTTCTTTTTATTCCTTTTAATTACCCCTTTTATTTCCCTTTATTTCTTTCAATTTCCTTTATTTCATTTTGCCTCCTCTTGTCTCCTTTCCTCTATTTTTAATTTTTAACTTTTTACCTCTTTTTTATTTTAATTTTTTTTTATTTTTGAATTAATTTGTTTGATCTTTTTTCTTTTATTTCTCTTTGTCCTCATTTGTCCTTTCTTATCTTGTGTTTTGTTATTAATTAATTACTTTATTTAGAAGCAAATAAATAAAGAAGGTAAATAGATCAGTAAATAAAATAAATAAATAAATATGAATAAATAAATAAGACAAATAAAAAATAAATAAATACATTGATTTTTTGCCTCAGGACCTGCAGCAGTGGATGCCATCAAGGAGAAAGTTAGAAAACAAAAACAAGAAGAAAGAAGCCTCCGACTCAACCAGGCGCAGTAAACCCTAAACCCTAAACCCTAAACCCTAGTCCCTAAACCCTTAACCCAAAACTCTCTTTAACGCGAATCCCTAGTATCTAAACCCTAGTCTCTAAACCCTAAACCCTAGTCCCTAAACCCTAGTCCCTATCCCTTATTCCTAGCCACCAAACCCTAGACCCCAAACCCCAGCCGCCAAACCCTAAACCCTATACCCTAAACCCTAGACCCTTTTGTGTGCGCTTGTGTGGCTGCAGGCCTCGGTGCTCGTGGTGTATAGACAGCTGGGGCTTCGAACGCATGCGCGGAAACTTTTTAATTTCTTTTTCTCCTTTTGCATTTCTTTGTATTCCTTCAATGCAAAATACAATTGATATAAACCATCTTCTTATTGTTCCAGTTGTGGGTAGTTAATTAATTAATCAATTAACTAATTAATTGACAAATTAATTAACTAATTAATTAACTAATAAATTAATTAGCAATTAATTAATTAAGTAATTAATTAGTTGGTAATTAGTTAATTGGTTTATTTCTTTGTCTTCCTTCAATGCAAAATACAATCGATATATACCATCTCCTTATTGTTCCAATTGTGGGTAGTTAATTAATTAATTAATTAGTTAATTAATTAATTAATTAATCAATTAATTAAATATGGAACTGCGTTTTGCATTTGCATGCGCGCAGCCTCACTGCGGGGCGGTGACGGGGCTGGAAGAAGAAGTGTTTGAGAGTCTTCGGAATTACAAAAAAAGTTTAATTTCTTTTTTTGAAAAAAAAAATTTATCTCCTTTGTTTTTGGAAACTGTTCGCAAACCACCTGTACAGACACCCCAACTCGCAGCAGGACCCCACACCTGCATCCACGTCCTCCCCCTCCCCACAGACAGACTCCCGGAGGCCCGCGTGAGGGTTTAGGGTTTAGGGTTTAGGGTTTGGGGTTTGGGGTTTGGGGTTTGCGGTTTGGGGTGGGGTTCAGGGTTTGGGGTTTAAGGTTTGCGGTTTAGGGTTTGGGGTTTAAGGTTTGGGTTCAGGGTTTAGGGTTTAGGGTTCGGGGGTCAGGGTTTAGGGTTTAGGGTTTAGGGTTTAGGGTTTGCGGCTGCAGACGTACTACAGGAAGGCTTTTGCGGAAAGCGAGGGCTTTTGGCAAAGCCACAAAACTGTAATTGAGGCCAAAGGAAGGGGGGGGGTCCGAGGGACAATTCCCAAGGGTTTTCCTTACATTCACGTGGACTTCTCCCTCGGTAAACCCCAAACCCTAAACCCTAAACCCTAGCACTGGCTCTTAGAGCGTGCGGGAGCCCCGCGGCCGAGGGGCTCAAGCGGCACAGGGGCTGGAATGCAGGCTCGCGGGCCCTGTGGGGCCGAAATTAGGGTTTAGGGTTTAGTGTTTAGGGTTTAGGGTTTAGTGTTTAGGGTTTAGGGTTTGGGGTTTGCAGAGGATGGCCTGGCGCACGTTATCGACGACGGCGAAGAATTCAGCAGCTCTTTTGGCTTGGAGGTCTTTTTAGGGATTTTGGAAAAAGAAAAAACAGAAAGACCCTTCAGAGACATCAGGCAAACCCTAAACCCTAAACCCTAAACCCTAGCGCCCGCTGCAGGCTCTGGTCAGAGCCTGGAGCGCCACACAAACCCTACCTTCAACGCTTTGATAGAAACCATAAACTCTTTTCAGTAAAGCCTCATTTAAACCCTAAACCTTTATTTCATAAACTCTTTTTTAAC